GGAGTGGTGGACTACTCTCCATAGCAACTTAAGCAAATGAGATGGAAACTGGATAACTGCTCTGTAAAGCAATCCACATAGCTGTGTGTATATACCTATCTATTCACCATGGAGAAGAGATTATGTTCACCACAATTTATTTTTGTATCAATTTTGAATTTTATATACATATGTTCTCCAATTAAGTTTACATTTAAATTTTTTGAAAAGCAAGAAATCAACTAAACAACCAAAAATTCTATAGAAAAGCACCAGTTTTAATAAGTATTCTGCTACCTACCATCTTCAAGCAACATGGGTCTACATGCCATGGGGGACAACAAATTTTACACAGCTCTTTTTCCATTTGAGGAAGAATTACCTCAAATCTTTTGATACTTGTATTAATTAAACTTATATTAGGTAACATTTACAAAAAAAGTTTATTTGTCATAATCTTCTGTTTGAGGAACTAAACAGGGAAATAAAATATGGAAGTCTGCATTCTTAAATGGAAAATCATTTCAGATTACTTATAGTTTCAAATTTTTAAGTAAAATATTCTAGTGATACACAGTATTTTCAATCTCCATTAATTCAAAAATTTTGAGTAATTTTTAAATTAAGGGATGCTAGTTTGCACATGAGGTAAAAGTAGATTACTAGGGGTGACCCAAAAACTACCAGAATTATCTTCTTGAGGGAAGGCCCTTGTAGTACAGGTTTCCCCCACTAGGTGGGTATTCTAAGAACACATCTGCATCTGTACCAGCTGGTATTGTCGTGAGAGGCTGCATTCAGCTTCATTGAATTCTTTTTGAAGACTCTTTCAACACATTTGCTCATTTCATGATGAGTGATTTACAAATGCACCTGTCCACACCACTCTTGAGTGTTCAGCAGTTTTTGACCAATAATGGCATGACCTCTATACTCCCCCCAATTCAACCGATCTCAACTGGAGCTTCCTGGATGAACAAACTCCGCAAAGGGAAATGTTTTGCTAATGTGTAAAAGGTAAAACCAAAAGCAGCAGAAGCACTAAAAGGTATGCAAATTGATGGGTTGAAAAAGTGTTCTGAGCAGTAGAAAACATGTTTTGATAGGTGTATTGCATTCAATGGAAAGTTCTTTGAAGGTGACTGAAGTTTAAACATGTAAGAATAAATACACCATTTTTTATAAATAAATTCTGGGCTTTTTGGGTTCCCTCATATATGATGAAAAACATTTGATATCCAGCAACCCACATAATTCTTCATACTTTTATAATAACGTTTTTATAAATGGACCATTGATTCAGTTTTTCTGCTATTAAGAAAGACTTGGGAAGATAAAGCCCCTGCGATATAAATTCACATCAGAAAAGTCATTTATTTGTATGTTATTTACCATTGACTCTAAAAAATTTACATAAAGAACATGTTAAGTTTCATGAACTATTTTTTGCTGTCTTAAATAATACATTATTTCTTGACATTTTTGATATTTTTTTTTCAGAATCATATCCTATTAGCTAAATTCTATAAAATACTTGGAATCTACTAATAACAGATCATTGTTTTTAACCTTATTGTAATCTAAAAATGATTAAAGCATCAGGTTGTGTTTATGTATTGCATTGTAATATATTCTGCAAATCTTGGATAATAGCTGACCTTTAATTATCTCCTTATTTGGTTCAGCTTTCTTTCACTCTCATTATTTATCTCATCCCAAGACCTATAATTTCATTCCAAGATTTATGGATTATACTCCCCACGTGTCCCCATTCTTTTAATCTGAACCTTCTAAAGCTGCTTTCCCTGAAATCTATTTTTCCAGAGGACATTTTGTGTCTTATAAACAAACCCTCTGTCTAAATTTGTGGGAAGAACAATCAGCCTATTTTATGTTTCCCAGTACTACATACTGGTGTTATACCATCATCATCTCTCTGAAATCTATGCCATCTGATTAGGTCATCTTTGGCTGTAATAATAAATTCCACTTCCCTGTATGAATCAGCACTTTTCTTTCTTCTGGGCTGGTTCTGTTATATAGATCTTTTTTTAAAGCTCATATTGATCACCCGCTCAATGTCTTAATTCAGTGGCTTCTCAGAGCTAGGTTTTCTCCATTTCTATTTGAGCCACCCAACAGCATGCCCACATCTTGGATCAGCTTTTGAATGAAGCAGTTCTTCCTGACTAGTGTCTTCCCCTTTTCCTTATACATTTCTAATTTATCCTTTTATCTGATTTTCACTCTCATCCTATATCTGAATTATTTGTTCCTTCTGTTTACCCCACTCTATTAGCTCCCTTCTCATGTTTTTTTGCACTGAGAACCAATGGTCAGTCTAGTATTCATCCTTGGACTTTCTGTTGTGGTTACTTGCCTACTTTTTCTTTCTCTACATTAGTTGCGTGTTACAGTTCTAAATTAGTATGTAAAAATGCAACCTCATTATTGGAACTTTTTATAATGGCACCCATTTTTTTTCTAATGGCAATCCATTATTAGATTGTTTCAATTTTAAAATCAGGAAACTGACTGATTTTAACAGGACCTCTCTGCTTCTCAGTTCAGTATTTTCTTATATAACCCTTCTAGTCATGTGTTCAAAATGTTTTCTATATTCCAATTGCTTACATCTACATCCATTCCAAGGATATGACCTTGCCTCCTACTTACTAGAAAAAAATCTATCTGCCAAATTCTTATCTATCTATATCAAAATATCTGTATCCATGTTATGTTCAAATTTATTTTAACAAAGGGGTTTTATGTGCAAACCTCCATGTTTCCCTTTAACTATCTTTTCCTTTGCTGTTTACTCAAAAGTATGTGTCTTCCTTTTCAAGGATAACCTGCCTCATCTAAAGCCCTCTTTAACAATTGAACTATCCCTTCTCTCCCACTCTCCATCTACCATTTCACCCTCTAGTTCATTTTTTAAATTACAGTTTGCTTTCGATATTATTTTGTATTGGTGTGAGGTATACAGCATAGTGGTTAGACAATCATATATTTTACAAAGTGTTACCCGTGACATTTCCACTACCCATCTGGCACAATACATAGTTATCACAATATTATTGACAATAATTCCCTGTACTGCACTTTAGTTTATTTCTGACCAGCAGATGATTAAGTCAGAAACTGAAGGGTCTGAGATTTTACTCTTCTTGAAAGCTTGTTAGCCTGCCACGGTTTTATATATTGATTCATATACTGACAGAAAACACAAGACTCATGGGTCAGAGAAAAAGACCATTTATTTATTCATGGCAAAAACAACCACCAAAACAATGTCTTGCATCATGTCCCAAGCCCTAAGTGCTATAAGACAACACTGTTAAGGCCACATATTACCTGTGCATGCAGTAGGGCATGTTATAGGAGAGAAGCTCCAAAATAAGGAAGAGAGACAAACACACCTTATCTTAACTCTTAAATGTAAGCAAATTTTTCACCAAGGAGGGAGAAAGAATACTCCCCTGGAATGTCTCCAGGGAGGGAGATGTTCTCTGTCTTCATTATTATAGGAAACAAATCTTCCCTCTGACCTTAAGGTAGATATTATCTCTAATTTTCAAGGATGTTTGTTATATAAACCCCTTCACTCAGAAGACCTGGGCCGTGCAGAAACATGCAATATTCATAGAGACTTTTCTCCCAACACAAATTTTCCCAGATGTGTTGTCTTCAAATTTCCCTCAGAATATCTGCCAGAGTATTATCATTGCCTTTGTCATTTCTGTTAACTCTGCACTATTGCTCTGTCACTCCACTGAAAACAATTCTCTTCAAGGTACCAGTGATCTATTAGTAAATTGACCAATTTTTAAAATTGTTCTTGAATTTTCATAATTTAACAAGGGCTATATTTTCTTTTACCTCTAAACTACTCAGCTGTTTTCTATGACTAATTTGAGTCTTAGGTCTGTCTCCCTTGCCCATCTCTCTTTTCTTCACTCTTTACAGTCTTTCTCCTTTCCTGTTACCTCTTACCATTTCCTGGACTGAAATAGACCTCCCTTCCCAGATGTTGCGATAGTGTCTTTTGAATGGATGTCACAATGTATCAAAATAGATAGTACTTCTTTTATACATGGAGCTCCTTGAGAGCAGAAACAATTTATGTACAATATTTATGAATCCATGGCACCTTTCATAGTGTGTGCTCGTAAATGATTGGAATCAGTAAGTTATCAAATACATTACAGTATTTCTCTTTATAAGATTTTATACTTTCCTTTTTCTTTCCAGACTCCCAAAGTTCATATGCTATTTTTGGTCCTATAATTGGTCTTCCTACTTCTAGTCTGTAGTCCCTTTATAGTAGCACTGGCACCAGATTAATGAAATTCAATATTTTAGAGTGCCTACATAAAAACCTTCAATATCTTTCAATTATCTAAATAATAAAGCCAAATTCACTCATAAGGAAGTGAAAACTTCCACACTATGCTCTCAGAATTTTCTCTATTTATTTCAAATTCTTACCTACCTTCTTAACTTTGTTTAACAAGTATTTGAGGATCTGCTTCCCAAGGCTTTGAGAAAGAAGTTTACTATGTATGGTATATACTCATTAGCTTTGTGTTCAGGTTTTGGTCCCTTGTTTCCTCTTACTACTTCAGTTCACCTCCAAAATAATCTCTGGAGAACACTTAGACATATTCATATAGTAAGTAGTTCCACTTTAAGACAAAATGTAAGGAATAAGTTTAAAATAAGTGGCATGCCATTCAGCACAATGTCTGGCTCATAATAAAAGTTTAATAAATGTTTAGACTGAATTAGTTCTGTGTAAGTTTTTAAAGACAAATTTAGGACTATAAAAATTATTTATTATTTTAAGCCTTGGGAAACCTGCCTATTTTTGCCTCATGGTACTTCTGCTGTTAACATTTGAATTTTATATGTTATCTATTGTTATTGGTAGTTTTATTGCTTTGAAACACAAAGTAAAAAACAAATTTAAGAATATTTTATTACATGTTTTCAAACTTTCTTCTGTACTCTCTTTATAGGTTATATGTAAAGTCAGATGTGCCACTGAACTTGACAAACACAGGTAGGTTTCATGAATAGCAAGATTTAAATTTTATTCACAGTAGACTCCTCAAGGTCTAAGGACATGGTATTTGAGGGTACCTTAGCAGTTCTATAGAAAATCAAATCATTAGATTAGTTCATAGGAAGTGAATTGAGTAACCAGTAGACATACAGCCATATTGTTGCCTAACACCCTTCTTTTTTGCTGCCCTGCTACTGTCCTTCAGATATCAAATGTAGTTTCACAGAGTTCACAAACACTAATGTTAGATTATGCTACTTGGGGAAAGAATGTATTGTATAGTTCCATGAAATAAGTAATGTTTCAGTACTGATTAATCTAAAAAATTCGAGCCAGTAAATTTGGATTTCAGACCACTTCTCCTGCTAACTTGCTAACCTTTGCTTTGATTTCCTAAACTGCTATAATCCCCAGGCTATGTGGATAATTTCAAGACCTGTTTTGGATTTTGAACCATATAATTAATTTTTTCATCTATGATACTAAGATCTAAACTCAAATTAAAATCTTTGTAATTTGCATGTACATTTATCAAAGATCACTTGTTACAGATTACACATTACCTTCAATTTACCATGTGTAAACTATAGCTGAAGGCAGACAATGTTTTATGACTTCCACTATTGAAAGTGACCCCAAATAGAAGGTATTAGCACACCAAATAAATTTCTGGATCCTGTTAATTATTAGTATAAATGTATCTGAACTGGGACTACTTTCATGTAGATAGCTGTTACAGCTACTTGATATAGATAGCCAGTCCTTACCCTGAAGAGTTTTATGAGGTTGTCTAATATTTCTTTGGGGCAAATTTTTAACCATTTCATTTTCAGAGTTTCTCTGTATGCATAGTAAGTGTGCAACTTCATAAGAAGATGAGGTGTTGATAAGTGCTTAAAAATCTACTTTCCCTATATTCTTTAGTCATGTTTGGAAGTAATGTTTGCTATGGATAATGAGAAGTTCATAAAATTAAATGTTGTTTAAGACATATTTCCCTTTCCTCTTAAAATCAATGCTAGTGATGATCAATTTAAATTTAGGTAGTTTATTAATTTTCCAGGCAAATTATAAAACCAAGGATTTATTGAAATGGAAAGATCAATGAAAATATGCTTAGTAGTTATAGAAATGAAAAATTGAGGATTATCTGAATTAATGTTAAAATAATTCTACATTCTTCTTGGTGGAGGCGATTGAATTCAAGTGCTTATGAGATTATTTTTAAATTAATGCTTTAAATTCTAATGCTATTTTTAATGGTGTAGACATTAATTTTAAAACAGCAAAGATAGCTGAAGTAACTGAGTGATTGTTAAATTTTTATTTAATGAAGTTACAAACATTTTAAACTGAAGGAATTATTATATCTAAAGTAACACACTAATAATTTATTAGTTTTGTAAATATCTAATAAACTTATTTTTTTTCTTTCAGAATTCTATTGCATTTGGGCTTTATATTGGCAAGCCTTATCTTTTTAGTGGTGAACTTGACTTGTGCAATGCTAGTCCATGGAGATGTCCCAGAAAATCAGTTGAAATGGACTGTGTTTGTTCGAGCATTAATTAATGATAGCCTGTTTATTCTTTGTGCCATCTCTTTAGTTAGTTACATATGCAAAATTACAAAAATGTCATCAGCAAATGTCTACCTCGAATCAAAGGTAAGTATGTTTCTTATATTTTCACTTGAAAATCTAACTTCAAATCATCTTATGAAGCATATTTTAATGGCAAGTTTATATATTTTTAAGTGTATCCTGAATGTCAAGTACACTTTTTAGCATGAAAGAATGGTCACTAGAAATTAAAAAGTATCCAAAACTTGGCACTTAACTAAACAATGATTTTTAAAACTTAATACTGAACATATTATATTTTCTATGATTTATATCTTCTGCACTGAAGGCTAATTAAATGAAAAAAATTATATCAGTATATTATAAATAGCCTAATACTTAAAGTCACAGTAATAACTTAATACTGCCTCAGTAAGAGTGGCAGTATTGCCATTAAACAAATTTACCAGATTACGTATACAAACATTTGGTTTAGCAGTGTTGATTTCATACTAGTAAAGTGGTATTTATTTGTATAAAGGTTTAGAAAATGTTATTTCACCCCATAATAGGAAGTTCCTATAATACTTGAAACAGCTAGTCATGTAACTAAATTTATAAATTCCTTGCTTCTTCCTTTCCTTATACTTTGGATCAGCAAAGGAAATCAAATGCTAACCCATTAACAAAGAACCCTGGAAGTTTTTGTTGCTGATTAACAATGTGGTCAAGCCATGAATCAGTCGTCACAGTGGCATTGAATGTGGGAGTATAGATGTGTGGTTATTGGAGTGTGGGTGTATAAGTACATGAGTTTGCTTTCATTTGCCTATTCACTGAAGATAAGCAAGATGGTGTCCTAAACAGAACCTTTCTCTAAAATATTTTTAGACTTCTATATTGTTGTTATACTTAATATAGTCCTAGTGAAATGAAATATTATTATTAAATGTATGACATCAACTTGTCTTTAAATTTAGGTGGAGGCTTTAATTTTACCTTTCAGACTGTATCAGTAGAGTGCAGAGTAAATATAGAAATACATATAATATTACATATAGAGAGAGGTGGGGGAAGGGAGAGAGACTAACTTAGACTTTCAAACCTATTAATCATACCTGGAAAATTATTTTATTCAACTTCTGTTCTAAAACATTAGTTCCTAAACTTTAAATATTTTATCTAATTCTGACTTTAGTTTACGTGTTAAAAATAATATTGTCACTATTGTGGTACATAATCTTTTGGTATAACAATAGTACCTTTGCTTAATGTAATAACATCACCATAGACTTCATACCTCTTGTCTGTCTAGTAATAAAGCATAAATAGATGTGGTTGACTTTAAAGAGCTTCCTTTTTGAATACCAAGCACCTTTCCAAGTTTGGTTTTACTTGCTTTGAAATACATAATTCTCTGAATATAGTAAAATTGCCAATCTGAGGAGAAAAGTTCATCTGATAATTCCTTCAGAATTATTTCAAGCATCTTTCCCCAACTATCATGTGACAGGTATTCACTTTATTATTATTTTTTAAATTCTTAGATATAAAAGGTGTGTGGATTCAGAATTATCTAGGAACACTACAGACGCATGTTAAAATGCATACCTATAAAGGTAAATAGATATAACATGAGATACTAGGTTACTTGTATTATATTGTATTGTTATGTAGTTCTTGGTTTTCCTAACTAGGTTATATACTTTTTTATTCAAAGAATACATCATCTTGCTTCTATATTCTCCTTGTAAAATCACTAGACTCATTCTTTTAAAAATTGTGTAACAGTTACAGTAATGGCCATTTCTTTTATTCAATCAACAAATGTCTTTTTAGCCATTTACCTCCTTACTGACAGTTTCTTGCTATCTCTAAGAGCATTTCCTTAAAGCTCAGACTTTGGTCTTCTATTTTTCTCTCTTTATTCTTCCTTCCTTTTTGTACATATTTAGTGATAGTGATATCCTTCATAATTTTTCTCAAGCACTCAGACCTACCTTATTTGTAAATGGCACATAGTATGCTTTCCTGTCTCTATATCCTTTGGCCGTTTTCATCGGCCAGGATGCCTTTTTCCCTCCCAGTGCTCTGTACCTGTTTGTCCTTATCATACCTAATTTTAAAGGTATAACTCTAATATTTCCCCTCTTTAGGCATTCTCCTTCATCTCCAAAATAAAATTTAGAAATAACTCTTTACATTATCTTAAAATTTTGTTTTATTTTTACCAACTAGAACACTTTTCCAAAGTAGTGATTCTAACTTATTTTTTAAATGTTACTGTCAATTTAAATAATTTATTTCTGCTTTCATTATTTTAATTTTCTTAAATATTTAAGGTTACTTTGTTCCATGTTTAGGTTCTTATATAAATATTTAATATTTATTTCATAAACTAATATAGGTATTTACAGCAGTATGTTTTCTCAAGTACTGCTTTGGCACTTTTCTATAATCCTGTTATATTGTAGCAACATTCTTATTTAACAAAAACAAAGAGCATTTGCTGTTTAGATTTCAACCATGTCTCAAACATTACATACTTATGTATCAGTGTGAATTACATATTATCTCTCTATAAAGGTCTTCCTTCAATTCACTTTGGCAGAAAGTCTAAAATTCAGGCATCTGTCCAGTTCAGGCCCTCTAACTTCCTTAAGAAGTTATCAGTTTTACTCTCTTCTGCTTTATTATTCATGCATATGAATCAGTCCTACTATATAGACTCTAGCATTTCTGAACTCCAGGTCATTGTTAGGGAAAATAAACTCTCAACCATTAAATTTTAAAAATTCATTGTCATAAAAATTACCTAAAGGATGTACAGTCTGTCCACTTCCCTATTATACATTTTACCCTCAGCCCAATCCAAATCATTGTAAAATTTTGTGCTAAGAATGCATCGTACCCTGGATAGAGTTATCTTTTCCAACCTACACTTTGACATTGTGCTTTGATCTACGTCAAGAAATATGTAAGAAATTTTTGTACAAAACATCTTAAAATCATTATTATATAATATTGTTGAGGATATTGTCCATACAATGTTCCCCAGAGAATATCTTTTTCTCCAAGTACCGGGTAAAACATTATTGATTACACCCTTCTTTCCTCTGGTTACTATGTTGTTCAGAACAATTATGTGGCTCATTAATCATAGATAACCCTATAATACACATCAATCATAGATAACCCTACAATACAATACACACACACATGCCTACGTTGTTTTCTTTTTATGTGTATCTCTGTAACGAAATTCTGTTTTGCAATGTAAGTGATATAAATAAGGAATAGAATTAGATATACTTTTGGATATACTTATATCTCTTTTTTCAGATATATTGATTTTTTAAATTAATTTGTAAAGCCCTATTGAAAATTAGTAGATGATAGTGATTAAGGCTGAAAACCTGGGAACAGAGAGATAAGATGTAAATCTCATCTTTCCTTCTCATTAGCTGTGTGACATTAGATAAGTAACAGCCTGAATAAGCTATACTCTCCCAGTCCATAAAGAGGAGATAATGATAGTGTTGATCTCCTAGGTTGTTCTGAGAGTGAGGGTAGTATCTACCCTATAAGGTTGTTATAAAAGATAAATGAAAATGCATATAAGGTTATTAGTGTAATGCCTAGCACTTGGGAAGTACTTATAAATGTTAATTATTATGATCCTAATGTGTATTAGGGAATGGTAATGTAGCTTTAGGAATTTGTTGAATACCTGAAATTGTTGGCAAAATTTATCTGGAGAGGGACTATATATGTATGAAATATATATATATATATATATATGTGTGTGTGTGTGTGTGTGTGTATTTTCAATTCTCAAAAGGAACAATGATAAAAAAAGTAGGAACTGCTGAAGACCAGATTTCTCTTTTAAATATTGTATTTTAATTTTGACTATTCTACCTTATTTGTGTACCATCCGTCACAGACTTTGATAAAGGTTGATATCTCTGACAGATTACATTTCATCTATTATTTAACTAGTTTTTCCTTAGAAATTTTTGGAACAAATATTGTTGAAATTATGTAATGGCCTTTTAAATTATAGATATTTTCATTCTGAAATCTAGTATAATATTTATTATAATCTCAGTTTTGTGTGCATGGGTATAAAACAGTACTTTTTGATGTTAACATTTCAGGTGTCATTAACTGAGACAAAATATGATAGTTTCATGGGATTTTTAAAAAGTAAACTATAGGGTAAAGAAATAGTTTATATATATATATTGAAATTGTTAGTGCTGGTCTTTTCTTTTATTACTTTTTTATTGCGCTGTTGCCTCCCTTCATTTATATGATTTCTTGGTACATTTTGTTTTATTTACTTTTTTAGTTTTTATCTTTTTATTTAATCTTCACTGTATTTTTTTCTGCTACCATTTATCCCCCTTGTTCTCCCCTCTCACCAGCAATCACCACACTGTTGTCCATGACCATGAGTTCTTTTTCCCTTTTGCTCAATCCCTCCACCCGCTAACTTCCCACCCTGCCAGCTGTCATTCTGCTCTCCATCTATGAGTCTGTCCCCATTTTCCTTCTTAGTTCAGTTTGTTTGTTAGATTCCACATATGAGTGAAATTGTATGGTAGTTGTCTTTCTCTCACTGGCTTATTTCACTTAGCATAATATTCTCCAGGTTCATCCATACTGTTGCAAAGGGTAAATTTTTCTTATTTTTGACAGCTGAGTAGTATTCCATGTGTAAATGTCCCATACTTGTTTTGTCCACTCATCCACTAATGGACACTTGGGCTGCTTCCACATCTTGGTGACTGCAAATAATGCTGCAATGAACATAGGGGTGCTTATGTTCTTTTGAATTAGTGTTTTGGGTTCTTTCAGATATATTCCCAGAGGTGGGATAGCTGGGTCAAAATGCAGATCCTTTTTTAATTTTTTGAGGTATCTCCATACTGCTTTTCACAGTGGTTTCACCAATCTGCATTCCCACCAACAGTACAAAAGTGTTCCCTTTTCTCCACATCCTCACCAGCACTTGTTGTTTGTTGGTTATTAATGGTAGCCATTCTGATAGGTGTGAGATGGTAGCTCATTGCGGTATTAATTTGCATTTCTCTGATGAT